TATATATTAAAGCAATTAACAGAAAATGTGTAGCAAAACCGGTCACACCGTAAAGCTCATTTCTCACTTGTTTTGCATCTGTTTTACTCTGTTAATGTTTTATTAGCAATATGAAATACCATACATTTGTTTTTCTTTCTATATAGCTTAAATTTGTATGTGAGTGTGAATGTTTTGTTGACAGTAATTAATTTATTGAGTTTTAAAATATCCTGTTTATGTAGGTGTTTTTTGGCAGTATTCACTTGATATCAGGTTGAATTGTTTAAACAACATTCAGGATTTTCTAGCTTGAGTTCAAATTCAGTGGTAAAATCAAGCCTTTCTGTTTTACTACCTTTTGTTATTTCTTAAAAGAAGCATCAAAGAGATACTCACCAGTTAGTTTTGGCCCTCCAAGAAGGGATTTGATCATCTTCTTGCTGCCTATTTTTTCCTGCTTTTCTTTTGTGCTACATTTATGTTATTAGTTAACCTTTCAGCTATTAACGTTTTAATTTGGTACTGTGTCTCATAGGAAGACTAGAGTTGAGTTGCGTGCTGGTGATCTTAATTTTTCCTTGGGGACACCTGCTGCTTCATAATCCAGTACTACTGGTTATGTTATTTTTTCCTTCCCTGCTTGTTGCTGCTGTCCCAGCAGGGGAAGATGATTTAGGCAGGAGATGTTAAATTTAGTTTTAATCATTACCATCATGATTAAGTGCAGATGCAACTCTTGACTTTCTGGGCCAAATGGGGCTACTGGTCTGTGTACTAAAAACCCAACTCCCTGTGCTGCTGCTTCTCTCTTTCAGCCTTTGACTTTTGTACTCTGCTTTTCCTATCAGACACACTGAAGGTAAATCTCACCTCAGCAGCTTGGTGCTTCCTGTCTTACCATGCTTTACCCTGTTTTTGTGTAATGATGTAGAAACCAATAGCTGGCCTGCAGCAGTATAACTCCAAGTATACAGAGGCCGAGTGAGGAAAGGCTGAATAAGGCAGCCTCAAAAAGAGCCAGGCTGTGCATTAAACACAGCTCTTGTGTGAGACTACACCTCAACAAAGTTAGGAGTTGGTGCAGCGTTGCATATACATGGTATTTTTGATGTGACTCAGACCAGATTGTGGTAGTTTTGAAAGCTCTGATCTAAACACTGTATCCTAAATTCCCAGATCCAGATGTTTCTTTAGGTTTATTTTTTTCTGGCATACACAGAAATAGTCCCCATCATGCCCTCCTCTCTTTTTTTTTTTTTGTTTTTTTTTGTTTCCCTAGGGAAGAGATTTTAGTATGAAAATTTCACTGTCTGGAGGGTGTCACAGAGGTCTGTCTGCTAGCCCGGGGTGAAGATAGTAGGGTCCAATTCAATCAGGAGAGGAGTATGGCAGTAGTCTTGAATGTGTACTGGAAATACTAAATCAGTAACACCATTCTTTCCAGGCAAGACATGTTTAGTCAAGAATGCTATACCATTTAGCTGTTAAGATGTGGCAAAAGTTCAGGACTCTCCACAGTGCAGACTACCTCCCTATTTTTGTCATGTCTCTTGCAGGAAGAGCCTAACCTTTCTTGGTCTTGTAATTAATGTTTTGCTGTTTAATGCTTTAGTACTTCTTGAGGTTGCTTTTATCAAATACTGGTCTACCTTCCTTGTACTTTAAGGTATTAAAATAAAAACTGCTTATAATGGATAAGATAAGAGGTGCCTGAAATGATTTAATCTCTGGGCATGGAGCCTTGTTCTTCAAGCAAAATATGAATCTCATAAGAAATATTTTTAGGAAGCCTAACAGGCAAAAAAAAATTGGTGCATTTTTAATACTTGCTAGGATGGCAGGAACAGCAATCAATTTTGTTTTTCTTGTTTTTTCTGTTACACACTTTAGTATGTAGATAGTCTTGTGCCTTGATCTGGTTAACTGTTTGATCCCTCATTTATTCCTCCCAGAAACAGGAGACTATTAGTTTAAGTTAGGATTTAACAGCAAGAACGCATTTGTTTTGTTCAAGTGCTTCATGTTTTTTAATTTTTATATTTTTTTTTCTTTTCCAAATAGTCCTTTTAAAAATAGATGTCATGTTTGATTTAAAAAAGCCCACTATATTTTCCATTCTGTTACTGCACTCTCACACACAAGTAAACTGCTAAGTGTACTGAGTACTTCACTAGAGAAGGTATCAATGGATCTGGAGCTGTTCAAGTGGCAACAAACATCATGCTGAGGGGAGAGGCTTTGTTTTGTCATCTGTAAAAACTTCATGGTGGTGGACTCTACCTTTTTGTTTGTGTGGGGGTTTTTCAGAGTGGGAGGTGCTTCAAGTAACAGCCCTCCTACAAGAGGGCAGCAATTGTCTCCAGGAAAGCATTTTTTAAGGTGAAATCTTGTGTTTTAAACTGGCTTCACTTTTGTTTCTAACTCAAAGCAACTTAAAACCTAACCTTGAATTGCTAATCAAGTAAAAGTGTTTTGGGAAGCCTCAGCTGACTTGGAGCTGTTTTTTGTAACTTAGGTTTGGGTGTTACTGGTTCATTGTGAGCCTATGAGTGAAAGTCTTATATTGTGGGAGAAGAACGATACTTGTTTTATGCTAGCCCTTGTGTATTCTTGCAAGTGGCCATTTAATAAGTATCAATATGAGTCTATGCTGATAACACAAGATTCAGACAAGAGTAAATAATGCTACTGTATTCCAGTTTATTGTCAAAAATATATTTCTAAATATATGGTTAAGTGATGAATTTATCATCTTAAAATGATACATACATGTTGCATGTTTAAAATGTAATACAAACTTGTATGATTTTTAGGAAAAAAAAAATCAACTTCCAAATGTCCAGAGACCTTGAATTGTCAAACTAAGTTTTAAAAGAAAACTTAGTATTCTAGATCTACCATATTGTTTTCATTGCTTTCAATTAAATGTAAATTAATTTAAATATTGTTTATCTTAAATATCAATTAAATATTTTATGTTTAAAACATTTTACAGAAACTAATTTTTCTAACTGGTTATGTTCACAACAAGATTTCTTGTTATGAAATACAGCTGGAAGGTAATTGTAGCATGTGTCAGACAGCAGTTGATGCATCCTCACTGCAAAGTTCATACTTTTAAAATCTCCTGTAATGATGTTATGGGACTTTTTCTACCCTTTAGAACATTATTATCATTGATTTTGATAGTAACAGCTTCTCATTGTGTAATGATTAGTTTGAGCTCTGCCTTATGTTTCCAACAATTCTGCCTTTAAAGTAATCCCTTGTGATTTAAATATTTAAAGAAAATGTTCAAAAAAAATCCTGCACTTAATTTATGAACAAATATTTGTATTGAGTTTCTGATTTTGGTTTAGTTTTTGTGTGTGCAGGCATTAACAAAAACTTTTTGGGGGAGCAGAATTGTTTCAGAAACATGTTTGACACGATCAGTAACAAATAAACTACTTAATCTGTCATCTGTGTTGTGTTTATGAGCACTCGTGTAAAGTACTGTGATGTCTCTATGTTCTGTGGTGAAATCCAGCCATGCTTGTTTCTCAGTCCTTCTTTCTGCCCCTTTGTGTGGCAGCCCCTCAACACAGAATCACAGAATGGTGGGGGTTGGATGAGACCTCTGGAGATCATCTAGTCCAACCCCCTTGCCTAAGCAGGTACATCTAGAGCAGGTTGCACAGGACTCCATCCAGGCAGGTTTTGATCTCCAGGGAAGGAGACTCCACAACCTTTCTGGGCAGCCTGTGCAATAAGATGTATTTGTGTTTAGTAGTGGGTTAATGCATTTAGCAGGCCAGATGTGGTAAGAAATACTTCTTACCTCCCCAGAGGGCACTGTAGATTAATCTTGTTCCAGAGATACTAGTTAATAATAAAATACGGAAAACCCTGAGAAATATTACCTAGAAGTGCAGAAAATGCAAAGGGTTTATAATTTGCTGAAAGAAAGACTGCCTAATGCTGACATCTGCTTCAGCCATAGCCAGATTTTTGTCAGATGGGTCCTCAAAATTTAGCTGTTAATTTGTGATGTTACTGCTTACAGCTGTTCTCTTTGCCCCCTTGCTGTTGATTAATATCTTTGTAATCAGAGGTAGCAGTATGGGATGTGTGTGACCCATTTGCAGCCCAGTACATTGGCTTAGCCTGCCAATAAAAACGGTTTCTGCTGAAGTTGTTGGCAAGGCCTCCTGTGTTTCAGGTGTGTGCCATCTTCTGTTATAACAGGAACAGTAATCTGCAGCTGCAGAGCAGGGTAAGACAGCTGAGAGAGACAACTGCCACGAACAGAAACTGAGGTGCAGTGAGCTTCAGGAATCTCAATTTGGTAGTAGCATGTTTTGACATGCTTGTGTATAAACTGAAAATACCTTTCAGGAGACTAAAAAAATCTTAGTATAATGCTTTATATTGCATTAATTTGCACAAAAAATATGTTATATGTACATTATACAAATTATACCAACAAAAGTTTTATTACCCACTAATTTGTCTATAATATATATTTTTAAAACAAACACATAGAAACTATGTCTTCTCCTGTCTTATTCTTTTTATTTTCTGACCGCAACAGTTTTTGACATCAGATTTCTTTCCTTTGTTTAGCCTCTTCTCTTCCTGTTTTTTTCAATTGTGGAACTTGTGGAATCTACATTACTATTAAAATAATAGTTGTTTCTATTTTTGGATTTTAAAAATGTCTATCTTGTACTTCATTAATCAGGAGGAGGAGATGCAGGCTTCAGTCTTTGAACATTTGGGTCTGAAAGTAAGGGACTCCTGAACTGTTGATTACTATCAAAGGGGATCTAGATCAAAAACACTTTTAAGACCTTTACTGTAGATGTTCCTAGTATTCTGGTAATATTTTTTTTAAGTGTACAATAGTATGTTGTAGGAGAGGTTGTTTATTCATAGCTTTCAGATACATTTCAGGTTTATTTTGTTAATGTATAATTGTGGCTAAATTATAATGGCGTCTGTCAAGAGTACAACTGTATATCTAATTTATTTTCCAGAAAAGAATACCCGCCTCAGCTTCAGAAAGTAGAAGCAGATCACGTTAGGTTACCACGGTCTCAAGGAATGGGTGAGTTATGTTTAGAGTTCTAATTTCTTTTAAGCAGGGTAATTTTTTGAATACTTGCTGTGGGCGGGTGTGACAACAAACTTTGTATAACCTTTAGTATATGTATTTCTATCCTTATATCATGTTTTTCTAGATTTATACAAGTTTGTGTATGAAGGGAGGATTTTGCCCTTTTTGACAGATTTCTGCATCCTGTTCGGACATGTTATAAGTAATTTTAAATTAGGCTTCAGTTATTTTAAAAACAACTGAAATCGCCAGCAGTCCTTTAATGAAAATTACCATCAGCGTAATCTAGCAAATCCCCTCTTGCTTTCAGTAGCAGATGTCCCATTCTAGTTGTAGTGAAGTTAGCATAGATTTTCAAGTCCAAAGCCTCCTCCAGAGATACTAAGCTACAAATTTTTACTGAACTTGTATCAATAAAAAAACATTTTCAAAGTTACTTTGGGGTATTTTTTCTTATTCATAAAACAAATCATAATACACTTGACGGAGCGTGGCTTGTTGGGTGTTTAAAAAGGTGGTTATACTTTGTTCAAGTTAGTGTATGTGAAGAAGTAAGTTGATAATTTAACAGCCTGTGGGGGTCGACATTTCTTGATAACATTTTGCATTTTTTCACTCCTAGACAGTATAATGGAAAACACAGAAGAGTCAGAGTCGGAATCAGAATCTGAAATTAAAAGAAAGGTGCAACAGAAACGTCACTGCAATTCATATCAGTCTGACTTGACACTATCTTCTACAACAAAAAAATGCTTAACCCAGTTAAAGGTGAGTTAGATTTTAAAAACGTGGACTTCTGTTTAGCTTTACAAGTTGACACGTATTTTAAATACAGGCATTCAGTTGTATAATAAGTTGATGTTCTAAAAATCCCTAAAGTTTGGTGAAAGATTTACATAAATTTTAAAAAAGTTTATAATGATGAAGACATTTAAGTGTTAATATTGATACTAGCCATGAAATACTTATTTTCCGATTTGAACAGACACTGCACTGTAAAGCAAAAGAACCTGTGTTGATTGGCTAATTGATAAACCAGAAACTGATAATTTTTGTTTGCTGTCTGTAAAATAGAGGAACAATATTTTACTCTGACAGATTTTTTTTTTTTTTTTTGAGGTGTCATGATTTTCTGTACTCATTGTAACAATAAAGACAGAGGTACTGCAAGGATGCAAGTACTGCTTACTAAGTTACTTTCTCAGTGAAACTAGTGCAGGTATCCAAATGGCATTCTCTGGTCTAGATGCAGCCAACAAGGATGTTTTGTTTGGAACTTTTCTGAATATCAGACTTAAGATACTTTGGAAATTCTTGTGAAACTCTCCATATTTCTTCTTCCTTCTTCCTAACCTTTTTCCCAGGTTACTATGGAAGATTCATAATGCCCACGTACAGGTCACACTGTATGACTATCAAAGCAAAATTTCCAATAAGGAGATCTTGGTTAAAAAAAAAAGTAGATCTGTAATTATTATATCTTATCAACTTGTGTTTGCTCCTGTGTGTTAGGAAGTAAGTCAGACTGTATTTCTTTGTTAAGATGAAACACTTGGTACTACTTTTAGGCATTTCCATTATATATTTAGTTAATAAGATATTCCTTGGAAATTTTTATAACTGAGTTTTTGATCTACATATGATATCTATATAGATATGATCTATAAAAACTAAGTAATGAAGTAGAAAAGCAGTTAAAAACAAAACAAAAGACATAACAGTTCTGTGGGTTTTGTTTTAATCATTACTTCAATAACTTTGCTTATGTTTGTTTAAAGAAGTGAAATAGTCATTGCTCATGTCCTGTCAGGTGAGGGACAAAGGCAGAAAACAATCCTCTAGATTGAAATGGTCACTAAAGAAAACAATTGAAAGATAAATGGAATCTTGTCACTGCCTTGATAAAACAGTTTTCAGTTTGAAGATCTAGTAAATGTAATCTCTTAATACACAGAGTTTCTTCCTTATAAATTGTGTGAATTGTCATGAGAGGAAGGAGACAGCCTCATAATTTACGGCTGGATTGTGATCTGTGTAGGCCATTTGCAGTCACTCGTAGCTCTAACTAGGCAACTCTGTGCACATGTAGAAGCAAGATGCGCTTCCAGCATATTCTCCCTAGTACAAAGCCATGGTCCTGACTTCCAGAACTACTTCGTGCATTGTACACGCATGGAAGGTGAGAGCTGAGCTGTATGTAGAAGCGTCAGCAGCTTCGTGTCCTTGAACCAGTCTGCGTGTATCTGACCACATTGCGAAAACAAGCTGTTCTCTGTCTCCCCAGTAAAAAAGCAGCAGAGTCGATTCCGTTGTTCTGGGGGCATGATTTCATTTCCAAAACCGTCAGACAGATTACACTTGTAAACACTATTTAATAATTACGTCTGGTACTTTTCCCCATGCATATCCTAAAAATGTGTAAATTTGAGAACACCAACAAGTCATGAAGGGAAACCAGTTACTTTTTTTCAAACACAAGAGCATGGTGTCTGTGGTAAAACTGTCAAGCAGTAAGCCTAAAAAAGGTGAAACCCTCATTTTTCACACGATCTATTGTGAGATACCAAAAAGGGATTGATAAAATATGTGAGGCTACATTGTCATTAAACAGGTTGATTTAAACTCAACCACTGATTGAGAAAATACCTAATTTTTTAATTATTACATATAGTAAGGAGGGTACATCCTTACTCTATTCTGTGCGCTCGCAACCACCTACCACTGGCCACTGTTGAAAGTACAGCTCAGGGCTAGATGAACCTGTAAGACTGTGTGGTTTGTGGATACACTTTCTAGATACAGAACATGTCTTGCTGCAAATTAATTCACTAGCACAACTCTTGGTTCTATTTTCTTCCTTAAATGGGTTGAGTTTTATCCTTTAGTGTAGTAAAGGGATATAACACAATGAATTATGCATTTGTCATGAACCATATGCATTTTCATGAGTCATGAGTAGCCAAAGTGTGTAGATGATAGATCAGAGGTTTATGGAACCTCTGAACAATTCACAAGTGTTGGTTGTGATTTTGTGCCAGAAGAATTGCAGACGTAACCTGCTGCTTGTAAGGCAAAGTGCAAATGGTTTTCATCTGACTAGACTACAACAGATTGCACTTTCTAATTGTTAAAAATATACATCATTTTGAAGGGAAGGAGGATTTTCTGCTTCGGATGTCCTTACTAAAAAAAAAAAAAGCTGAAAAATAACAAAAGCTTTGAATTCTGAAACTTTTAGAGATAGGGCAGAGTATTTGTATTTTACAGATTTCAAAGTTTAAAAAAATGCTGTGTTATACAAGTTATAAGGCAGACACATTTACGAAGAACTCAGGTACTTAAGTAGTCATCTTAAAATAGAGTCTAAAAAAGAGCATGCTCCTCTTAATTAAACACTGCTACCCCTACCATCAAGGTGCAGGCTCTGAAACCATGGAAAGAAACTTGGTTTTAAATTTTTGGTATGTGGTTGAGGTAGAGGGGTGCAGTTATTCTATACTTAAGATTTCTGTTTTGCTCTGATATGAGTAGTTTCGTTAAATTGCAGCAATTTTGTAAAAATAATATATTCTCCTTGTATGACTTTTGTCTTTACATTTGTTTTTAAAAATTATTGATGATCCCACACCTGAGGAAGTCCTCTTTATTGGGAAGGTGTTTGTGGTGGGGGGTGAGGGGTGCAAATTGTGATAGCTATGTTTTGATAACAGCTTCAATAAGTTTTTTGGTGGGATGTAGGTATTTATTTGTTATCTTCAGTAGTTCACAGTACAGTGGTTCTGTCATTTAAGCTCAGTGCTTTTCTTCTGCTCTCCTCCTTTTTCTCTTCTTCCTCTCCCCCTTTTTCTCCTCTAGTCCTCTGTCGATCCATAGGTTACTTTATTTTTGTCCAATTAAACTATTTTTACAGAAATTAGGTAACTGGACCTTCTTGCTGATGGATGTATATTTATAAACAGTGTGCAACTTTTACATACGGAAAGAAGAAAGACAAGAAGGAAAATCTGAATTGTCCAACAATAATCAGTTCTTTAAAATTGCCACAAATGATATTTGTTCCACTTAGAACATTTTTAATTTTCTTAACTGAAAATACCACTACGTTGTGTTTTAATGTTTGCTTTCTCTGCTTACTATAACCGCTAATACAGTGTTGTCAGTCTTTATTCTGATCAGAAAATAAATGCATCTTTTGGAAATGGTATCTCTGTACTTACACAGTTACTGATTTTGTTTGTGTGTGTGTGTGTCCCATCTAGCTTTTGGAACAAATTGATTATTCTACTGATTGCCCAAATTGTGGGCGGGCAAATGAAAACCAGACCAAATGCCGACATTGTGAAAGTGCTTCTCTAAAGGATTTGCAAAGAGTCTCCAGACAAACTGTGACATTAAATGAATCTGTGGGACCTTTATCACGTTCTTCAATACATCAGAATTCAACAGGGCAAAAATCTTCAGGTACAGGGTTCAACACAAAGAAGTTTTATAGTTCTGCTGTTGGGAAAGGTCCAACGGATATTCTACTGAGTAATGAAGTTGTAGGACATTCTATGTTACGACAGAATGGAAAAGTTGGTCTTATAACTGGGACAAAAAATCCTAAAATTACAGGAAGCTTAAGACAGAGGAGTACAAGACCATCTGAACTAAATGATCCAAGTAAGTACCTTTTTATGAATATAGACATAAACTGGAAACCCAAAATATTGTATAATGAAGGAACTGTCCTTGCATGTTTACTGAATCTGCATGGAATTTTTTTGTGGGTGTGTTCTTGGGGAAGATGGACAGTCAAAGACAGTCATTTTTATAATTTCCTTTTCATATACTGAGATACTCTCTGAGAAGGATGAACATTAGGGGAAAAAAATTATTTCATTAATCTGTTTGTTTTTGTAAAAGACTTACACTTTCTAAATGTAAAAAAAAAACATTCTTAGCAGAATTCCATCATTCATTCTCCCAAAGGGAAAGATAGTTGGGTTGGTTTTTTTTTTATTTTATATTTTTTCCTCTCTTATTGAGCTACACATCTGAACACTGTCCAGGTTTTCCCATTTATTTAAATTTCATATTTTTTAAATTGTTAATTTTTGTGCTTTCTTTGCATAAATTCAAATTAATTTATAAACAGAAAGAAACTGGAATTTGAGAAATTACATTTCTAGTTCCATGCTTATTTTACTAGACCATGTTGTCTTACCAAAAAATGTATGGCTTCACTTCTGTGTCTAGAGGCAGATTAATGATACTCATTTCTTGTATAGTTAGTTGTGAGAAATGAAAAATGAGGGGGAGAGCACCTGCAAGCAGATTCCAAATAAACATTAATAAAAGCATAATATAATGATAAATGTGGACTTTTTTTGGAACTGCAGGACAATTACATAATTTACTTTTAAACTATTGCTTGAAAAGAAACTTCTGTTATAGAAAAATGTAGTGGTTGAGAATTTAATATGTTCTGTTTAGTTGTTTTGTCTAGTGATGATGATGAGGAGGATAGTGGCAGCACTAGGAGAATGGAAAGCATTTCACCTCGTCCTGCAGATTCAGCCCGCTCCTCCCCAGCTCCTTCTACAGGAAAGGTGGAAGCAGCATTAAAGGAAAACAGTTGTGGAATAGAACAGAGAATAGGTAGTATAACAACAGATACAGAAATTGCAGTCACACTACCAAGAAAAGCAAGAATGAAAGATCAGGTACTATTTACTGCTTTGTTTAAAGAAAACAAAAATCAAATCATAAATGGAAAATGTAAAGGCTTGTCTTGCATTGTTAGAAGTTGACTATATTTGATAACTTTTCTTATTTAGCAGCTCATTGAGTAGTATTTCTACTTACATAATACTGGAAACATGAGAAAATGTGTCTTCATTATATTTTTACAGCCGTTCATAATGATTTGAATTATGCTTTTAACATAGAGACTTTTGTGTTGAATGTATACTCTTTCAGACCGGGCGGGGTATCTCTATGGAACTTAAGGGTTCACTTAGTTTGCAGAAGAATGTCAGTACCAGCATTTGCCTGGTAAGGCTTTGGACATACAAAGTTAAACGTGAAAAGAGGCACTGGGAGTAACAGTGGCCCTTTAAAATTAAAATACCTTGACAACTGTCCCCATTAATAGCACTTATTTTAAGGATTTCATGGTGGGGCTTTTGTTTTTTAGTTGAGTACCACTGCATGAATTGGATAAACAAAGACAAAAAGTGCACCATGAACAGACTCCTTAAGTGCTGTCAAAGGGGACGGCTTTCACGGTGTGTTAAAAACTTCACCACCTCAATAGTGAGCCATTAAGACGAATAAATTTCCTGTGGCAACTGATGTTGAATTAATAGTGCTGATTAAAACTATTCCTGGGTCACTTTTACAGTTTCACTATTGTGAGTATTGTTCAGCAAGAATATCTAATCAGATTTCCACCTGCAGTCTAAATCCTTTGTGGTTTTTTGAGTTAGAACGCTAAAGTAATGATGCTAAAACCTTCGTGCTATGTTGAGATTCAAAAGCTGACATTCTGGTGCTGTAATTGATGAAATTATGGATGTTTATAATGTGGTATATAATTAGTCACCACTATCAATATAAAGCTGGGAACCTCTAGCCTACAATAAAGCTGTGGGGCTAAAAGCTTGGATGGTAAATGGCTTTGAATTTCAGTTATTCTGGCATTATGTGCTGGATTAATTGAAGGCATTGCATCATGAAGGCAATAGTGTCTAAAGACTTCTGAAACTCTCCCAGATGTTTTCCTTTGTATATCCATATGTTCCTGTTCACTAGTATTTAGGAATCAGTTGTAAAATTGGAAATTAGCTGCATATTTTAAACAAAAGTAGAAAAGAGCTTGCTTTTGAAAACAAGGGAAACAGAATTTTTTTTTGTGTGAAATTTAATACAAACTTTGCATTGATTCAAGGAAACTACCAAGAATTGCAGGTATCCCAGTGTTTTTGTCACATGTAGTAGAAGAGGCTTTAAGAAGCTCTGTTCATTTGTTTTTCTCTCAAAATAGTCATTAATTCTTTACTGAAGAGGCTACTTGAACATGGCACCACTTTAATGTTTATGGTCTTACTGTTTTTCTGTGATTTGAGTTTTGAGCTTTGATTAATATTTAGCTTGTCCAGCAGACAAAGGTGGAAAGCTGTTTTCAACAAAAGTCCTAGGAAAATATTTTAATTACAAGGATTTAGAATCTCTGCCTTCTCCACTGTATTTAAATGAAGCGTCCAAAAGTATATTTTGAACTATGGCAAAGATAGGCTAGTGATTAGGGACTTGGAAATAATTGCCAAGATTTAGTCTTAATAGAAATATTGAATCCCTTAAAATATTTTTCTGTGGGAATGTAATTGTATTTTGTAACCCAAAAGAATGTTTATTAATGGACAGCTTTATGAAGCAATCTAAATACCAAAGACAAGACTAGTATATAGAAAATCCTTCATCAAAAGAGAGCAATATAAGCAATACAACAGATAAATGTATTAATCTGAGGACTATCTGCCAGCTTTCATTTTAGTAGGTTTTTGTAAGATTGTTCTGTTGGTGAACAGGAGACTTCATTTTGATTACAGCTTTGGTCAGCATCTAGAGACTTTCTTGCACTGGAGCCAAACTCCACGTGGCCTTTCAGTGTTTATGTCCTAAAATATGTAATGTATGGAATATATCCTAAAAACATCTTAATAATTCTGTAGAGTTGCTTTAAGGAATTTTGTTTGACTTATTTGTTTGTATTTCTTGAAGATTCTACTCCTGCTAATGTGGTGATGCGCTGCACTTCAGTAATAACTCAGTGTTTATCATCACCAAAACTTCAGACTAATAAAAACTGAAAGAAAAAATAAACCCACCAACATTGTGGTGCTTTTACAGCATCAGTGTTCTTACATAAATAAACAAATAAAATGTATTAAAAATAGCCCTGTTTTGCCAGGCTGCACAGTGTTTCAAAATGTCAAAAAGTAAATTGGTTTTAGAAGCATTACTTGTGATTTGGAAATGTTAACAAAATGTCTACGAGTGTCAGCTTATGTTTCTTTCTTGAATCTACCAACATTATCATCTTCAGGTATTCCAAAAAGTCCTTTAGGAAACTCCCTTCTGTATATGGTTGAGGTGGATGCTATAGTAAGTAATCCTGTTGACCAACAGAAAAGTAGCCAAAAAATCTAGTCGATAGTGTTTAACAAGCTTGTTTTAGCAATAAATCTTAGTGAGACATTCTGAAACCTTGAAAATTACCTTTCAGTTTGGGAACATTGTGTCTAACACTCCAATAAAACGTCGTAAAGTTATTTCTCAAGAGATTGTAACTGAGGCTGTACCTCTCAATTATCAAAATTCCTGTGAAAGTGTCATTCTGAACTGCCGAAGTATACGAATAGGAACGCTGCGAAGAATGGTGGTGGAACCTGTGATTGTAAGTAAACTCGTTATTTGATAAATCTCCTTTCAGTTTTTTTGTACTTGAACAAAACGTGTCTGTGGCTCAGTAAGTTTGCCTCTGATTTCAGAGGCTGTGATTCCTAAAGAATCCCAAAGTACTATTGCATACTGATGCATACAGTCTAGTTCTGGTGTTTTATAGACACATCATGCCTGCAAAACCCTTGAAAACTGTGTATTTGGTTGGGGGTGGGGGAGGGTTTATGGATTAGTGTGCATTTAAGAAAACTGAAGACAACAGTTACCAAAAAATGGATATGGATAGGTGGGAGGAAGAAACATGTCTGCAGGTGAATGATTTTGCTTCTATACAACAATTTTGGGTTTTTTTTTAACCTTCTAAGTGACATGGAGATTTTTGAGGAGACATTGAATGTTAGTTGCATGCAGTAAACCAGACAAAATGCCTACTTCTTGCTGAGTAACCAAATAAATAGCGGAGGGGTGTTACTTGTTCTTTCCACCTCTCTGCAAAACCCCATTGTTTGATTTGCTTAAATACTGATACTGGTAGACGACATTCTCTTTTGAAGATTTTTCCTCCTATAATTAATGGTATTTTTCAGAGTATTTTAAGCCTTTTTGAAAACAGAGTACTTAGGAGAGATCTTTAGTTTCAACAGTCAATATGACTGAAAGAGACATCGAGTAGTAAAGAATATATTTGCTTCCTTGAGTTGTGCTAAACTGTAGGCTTTGTTTTCTGAAAAAAAAAACAAAAACAAAAACATTTTTACTTTAAAATTCTCATTAGTCAGGTACTTAGTCCATTGCAATACGTTTGCTAGTAGTTAAAGGGCATTAAGTCAGTTTTGGTTTGGAGAAGAAGTAAAATCTTACTATTGTGTTGTCTTCCACAGTTTTGCCTGGATTATATCAAAATACGCCTAGAAAGTCAAGAAGGTGAGTACATCTTTCAGTTTAGGTTAGTATTCAATGTATATATTTTGAATGAAGTAATTTTATCAAAGGAATTAAGAGGTGAATCACAATGAAATGTCGATTCTGATTTTGTTATGTATGTAATAAATTATACTGACTGCCTGTTGTCAGGTAAGAGAAAAAAAAAAATTGAGATTATAAATTTGACCTGAACTGCCTGGTGAATAAAAAGCAAAATGATTTTGCATTATCTCTGCCTTCTCCTGACAGAAGGAAAATTCTCAGATAGCATGAATTAGCAATCTGTGGTGTGCATGCAACTGGGTCGTTAGTTCCTCCCCTTCATCCTAGTTAAAGAGTTGTAGATATTCTGATGATGACTGGCAAAGGTTGTCTTGAAAATGTTTAACAAAAGCAATAGGCAAGAGTAACCTCCTGTAAAACATTTCTTCTGTAATACTCTATTAGTTCTTTTATTTCAGATGCATAAGTAGAGAGTAAAAGCCACACAGGTGTCTTACATCTTTCCTGTCTATATCTCCCTTTACAATTTTTTATTCTCAAGCCTGTAGCTTGTATATTTCATGTTACTGAAAGAAATATGGTGACAGTTTAGGAAATGGTGAGCTGTTGCTCTTTTTCCTTTGCTTTCTTTTGTAGAGTTTTGCTTTGGGCCTGAAAAGCAAAGGTGTGTCTTTTATATAGCTTTGCCTCCTTTTGTTAAGTCTCAGTGAAGTTGCAGTCCTATTGAATTTTGCCTTTTGTTCTTTATAAATGAGAACTATAATATTTAGTCATTATTATATGCAAAAAGATGTCTCACAACTTGCAAAGATGAGCGTGGCCTTTGCTCATGTTAACTATTTAAGCTTCTGTTGCATCTAAAACTTAGATGCATAAAAACCTATGCATTCAATGCATTTGAAAAAAACACTAAAAAGCTTGTTAAAATTGTAGAAAATGTCTTATCAATTTTTAGTCAAAACAACTGCATGGTGAAATTACTTCCATGGGACTTGATCCCTCAATAGCATAAAAATGGGAACTCATTAAATGCTGTGTTTATTGGAACATTTAGCACTTTTCCATTTCATTTTTTTGAGTTTTGCATCTGGAGGAAGGTGGGTGTATTCCCAGATAGCTCCATTTCCATTAACATAATAATCATAGCATGATTTGTTTTAATACAATTAAGGGTCTTGAAAAAAATTGCACCTATTTTTTTTTTTTTTTCTTTAGATTGATTTCAATGGTCATGCTTTTTCAGGGAAAGACAAATGCTTTGAACAGCTATAGAAACACCAGTACTGTCCTGCCTTGAGCTTGTTTTTGCACGTATAAATATATGTAAAATTGTCAAAATTCTTTCTGCATCTCTTGTTAGTTTTCTACAACTCCCAACTGCTGTTTCAGGGAAACAGCTTTCGGTTTCTAACACGTAAAAACCTGTTCATGCTGCTTTTTATGTCCCATTGTCTGTCTTATGTCAGCATTACAGGAAATATTGTTTACAGGTTAAGGTGTTTATGGTGAAATGTATTATAAGATGCCTGTCTTAATGCAAAAGGATGAAAATTACTTAAATTTTCGTCTGAAGAGTAGACAGTCTTCCTCTCACATGACATTCATTATGCTTCATTGCAGTGCAAACACAGTTACAAGGATTTAGAGTTTTCTCCAAGGACTAACTACTAGCTCGTGTTTTGGCAAAGACTTTCTAGCTAGACACCATTAGAAGGACCTGTATGCCTCAGTTAAATGGATTGAGTCCAGTTTTAAGTTGGAATTGTCATTACTGCGGTCTCCCTCTGAAAGTGGGAATTTAGGTGAAATGAATTAAGGAAAGTGTGCACATTTAGGAAGGAGAAAACTGAAGTATTAATATAGAGACTGTGGTATGACAGCCTGGCCTTGGAAAGCTGTTGTTTGTTTTAAACACAAAGGAGAGAAGACTCTAGGAGTCATCTATAAACCTTAATTTAGTTACTAGCTTCATTTTCTCCTATGTAAGTCCTTAGGAAGTTAAAGGAGAGTCAGTGCAAGGAGATGGACTAGTTAGATCCATGTAGCATATTTCCACTGCTCTTTTACTGATGAGATGACAAACTACTCTTTTGAGCAGTAAATACTGCCCAGTCAGCTTGAAGGAAGCATGCTCTTGCTGCAGCCTGGTGCAGAGCTGAGCTGCTTCTTCCCCAGCTAGTGTGACAGGAGTATTGGAGGTTTAGAAGGAAGGAAGAGTTGCTTTGCTCTGAAGAAGCTGTGATGGCCACCACTTCCAGTCTGCAGCCAGTGGATACTTCGCTTTGGGTAACTGTTTGCCCTATCATTAAGAGCAGCAGACTCCCTTTCTGGCAGGCACAGGGGTGTGAATTCAGTTGCCAAGAAGAAAGGAGGATGTGGAGGGCTGCTGCTGGACATTGGCTACTAAATGCCAAGAGAAGGATAGGGGAGTGGAAACAGCTTAAAAAAGACAAAGGGGGAAGGGGCAAAAAAACACCCCCAAAACGCTGCCTTCACTAATAATACGAACCTCTAATTAACACTAGTAAGACAGAAAGTAATGGTGTGTCTTTTATATTTTCCCCCTCCCCCTATCATATGTTTTTATGCAAATATGATCAGGGTAATGCAAATTAAATTCTGTGTGGTAACCATTTACTAATTTTTACTCACCATCTGTCTGGTCATGAAATATTTACTAGAATTTAACTTAGGTCAGTGTTTTCAGGAATTCCCTGCAGTGTCTCTTCCCTCTTATGGGGAAAGGAGGAGGAGACTGACTTCATGCATTGAATTTTGAATTTATTGGAAAGACTTTCTCTTGGCTCCATTTATCTTTCTATCCTGTCTGTATTTTGTCCCTTGTGTAAGGGGATGTAGTTTTTCTGCTGGGGGCTGCCATCAAGCATGTGATAGAATGGTGGAAGCTGCCACTAACTAAAGCTTTAAGTGACTACAATTAACCACTTTTCTGATCTAGAAACAGTTACTGGCATTGCACTTTTGGGTCTTTTCACCAAATTTGAAGAACTTCTGACTTCACATATTTTTCCTTCCATTTTTATAACACATTAAAACTCATAAAATACTCAACATTGGCACTGGCAGCATAAGATGTAGTGTTGTAAATTTACCATGTTGCTGACATGGCTCTTTGATAGCAAATTCAGAGCAGTACCTTATCTTCCTCAGACAATTGAATAATTTCTCTGCATGTGTTTATTTTCCTCTTCATTTTGAAGTTATTTTTCATAAGGGAACTTGGTCAAAGGTAAATAGACAGAGTTTTACAAATCTGTTGTAAAATGTGTCATAGCAATAGTTGCAAATTTAAATCGTTGCTAGAAATGCCGTTTTCTCTGTGGAATAGTAACTAGATTGAAGTTGGTCAGAAGAAAACAGTTTGTTTCCAGCTACTTTCCTGAAAGGCGACAGTGGAGTTCAGTTCAACTTGTAAGTTATTAACAGGCATCATTTCTTGGATATGTGTTAATTTTAAACCTCTAAAAATTTCCTTAAAAGTTAAGGAGCACAAACTGATTTGTTGTTAAAATCAAGGGGTAAATTGTAGAGGAAATCTGCATGTTTTCACTCTAACTTAATATACTGTCATTATTTTCTTCTAGAATCAGAAAGCGATATCCGAGAGATTAACCTGAAAACTTCAGAACTTACCAAATGTGAATGGTGTAGTGTCCGAAAATTACCGGTAGTTTTCCTACAAACAGTACCATCAACCTGTAGTAGCCTGAGAGACCAACTTAAAATGAGTAAAGATAATGTCTGGTACGAATGTAAAGGAGACAGTAAGTAAACCATTTTAGTCTACTATTTCACTTTAAATTGTATTTTAATATTCTGAATCACGACTGACTGCGCTAAAGAATAAGACTGGCATCACTGGCTGGGGCAAGCGTAGTGTTTTTCCAGATCTTCCCAGGCTGATGAGGAGTACAGTTCAGAGCAACTTGGCAAAACTGTAGTCTTCTGCTTGTCCAGACACATGCTAATTACAACATATGGTCAGTTTAGTATCACTTTTTTTACTAATTTTTGTACTGAATGAAAGCAAGTTGATTTGTTTAGCTTTTCTATACAAGCCTTTAGATTTATATGACAGCTTTTGGTACACTTACTTCTGCTTTCTGTGCTGTTCTGCTTACGGGCCTTAGTTTCAGTAGGAATTGTGTGGGTTAGCTTGGGTTTTTTTCCCATGTGCTTGTAGTGATGTTGTGATGTACACAAATACCTGCCTGGAAAAATAAGTGGATTGTCTTTGTGTATCTTAAAATTAAGTTTAATTTCAGCATAGTTTTCCTCAAAGGTCTAGCATCTTCATAAGCACACTATTTTTTTAAATTAGCATAGAGTCCTCTTCCCTTTAAATACACTTTTCTTTAGGTTAAATTTAGTGGTTATTTATACTTGTACTCAGCTTCATAGATACATGGTGCATTCAAATGGAGGAAGAATGCTTTCAACGATCTCAGAACTGTGTGCTTCCAGCACATTATACTGTTATAATAACCTCATCCACCTTTTATAAGAAGTGTGAGCTGTAAGGAATATTACAATCACACAAGTAATTGGAGAGCGTGCAGTGGAGCTAGAGACAATCCTGGGAGCAGGCATTAGACCCCAGGTGAACAAAGGTGTTCACAAGTGAAAAAAGAAAAAGCTTGCTGAGTTGTTTGGGTAAGAAATCCTTCCCTTAGCATGTCTCTCGGCCTTTCTTCCCCCAGTTTTTCCCTCTAAGGCAGTGGTGCTGAACTAGATTTTACACCCAACTGCTTGATTGTACTTGATACTTAGGAGTACTTTGTGGTAACGCAGTTGGTATTTGCTTTGTGAACAATGCAATTACTTCAAGCCTGAATCCATAGCTGTGTAAGCAATAGGGTATAGATGCCTAGTTCCCAAAATAGGAACACCCAAGACCTAGTTAGACACCTAAATTCTGTGTGTGGTGAATTGGGAAATAAGCTGCTGAAGAATCACAACAGTTAGCATGTCGAGTTCAGAATAACCAAAAGGAAATGGTTATGCATGTGTCTGAAATTCCTCTTATAGAAAACGGGTCTCTGCAGCTCTGAGTTAGCAAGCTGTGTGAGACTGGGTTTTGCAGTCCTGCAAATCCTATTCCCGTATCTGACTACTTAGTGCAATTTACTGCTTTTTTTATTTTTCAGATGATGTGAGTGTATGATGGTATTTATCAATAGTTGATTGATCTGACTCACATTCTCCAACTTTTGGTAAAGGTGTAGGCTGACCTGTTAAAGCTAAGCCACTGTACCAAAAGAAATTCAAGATTTATTAGGGCTAGCAGGAGCAAGCATGAGAGAATGCCTGAGGCTTTTCTGCTTGCAGAATATTCACCAGGGGCAGAGAGGTTTTGATTTGTTTGTTATAGGACCTGAAAACAGGGCTTCACTGTTCTAGGTGGTGAGGTTTTTTACCTTTACCTGCGTAAGGAGATGAAGATTTTTATTACTGTGACATTTCAAATTCCTTTCCTTGTTCAGATGCATACTTTTTAGAAAAACTGGTTGCCAGTGGATTGGAGATCCTTAAGAGATTTCCATTTCCATGGTAACGGAAATCTGATCAGAGAAAAATAACTGTTTCTTTTGTGAAATTGCCGTTACAGGTTTTTGTACTTACGTACCCAACAACATGTGGTTAGAATCAGTAAGAGTAGTTTTGTTAGAACTTTGTGCTTCTGATACATGGTATATACAGTTTGTATCCCCTTTTTAAAAAGCGTGATTCTTATTTTCCCATTTAAAGTCTATAAACAGTTGTCTCAAAAAAATGTACTTATTTTCTCCCTCAGTATTGTATTCAGTTTAGTTTCTAAGCAGTGGTTTAAGTTTTGTTTCCCCCTTGCTTAGCTACCCCAAGTTAAAGTAGTATTTTTTAACCTGTCACTATTTCTGAGGATCTCTATTGTCTGAAGGAGCTGACGTGTGGATGTCAGAGCTTCACATCCACGTAAAAGTGACTCTTGCAGACTTTTTTTTTTTTAGCTGAAAGGCTGGGGACCTCTGGGTTTATATGCTGTAGTGGCTTTAATAAGCAAAATCTTCAAAAAGCAATAGTGATTTATAATGTAGCAGGACAGACCATGCATCTACCTGAATCATGGGGAGTCATATACTGTTCCTTGTTTAACGTAGTATGTATTGTCTTAGTTATCTTTTTTTTTTCCTTTCCCCTTTTGCAGTTGCATTTATTTGAAAGTAGGAGAAAACCAGACTGAAATCTTATAAAATAAAATACTATTTAGATGTTGAATTTAATAGCAGTTCTTTTCTAATAAATTTCCATAGATTAATGTATCTTCATTGAATTTTGAGAGAGCTGTTCTAGACTTCTTAGTGTTGACCTGGGAGAAATTAGGGTATGATGTTTCCCTATGTAGAGAGGAAATTATGCTGAATACATAATATCTGGAATTTTATTGAAACAATAGGATAGGAACTGTAATGAGAAAAAGATAAACTATTGATTACAGAGTCTTGCTGTCAGTAAGTAGAGGACCTCTTACTTCAAAACATGATTTGGCTTTGCATTCAGTGTCTTTTAAAAATTATAACATTTCTAGATTAAGGCAGAAGTTGAATTTACTCTTTTTGCACATGTAGGTAGAAGGGTTCGGTAGTTAATCCTTCCATCTCTCTGCATGCATGTGTATTACGGCTTGTATGTATTGTCAGCGTGTGCATGTGTTGGCCCATGATTCTTTGAAATCTGTTTATAATTGTGACAAACTTTATTTTGTTTCTAAATGAATAATTTTCTCTCTGCTTTTTTTGTAGGTCAAGAAGAACAGTACATCATTTTGATTTTTGAAACTGGTCTTGATCCTCATGCAAACTCAGTATTTGAAAAAATAATTACTGACATTGGTATTAGAAATAATATTTCTGACTTCTTTGTGAAAATTTCCTTTGAAGAAGCCAATGGCAGGCTTGTTGCATTCACTAAGTGCTTGGAAGACAATTCTAAAGGAAGCCCTTCTCACAGAGAAAACAAAATTAAAAATGTAATTATGTTTTTGTTTTAGAACAAAGTACTTCTATTACTTGGGTTACAAATACACTAAAGATAGTGTACTAGTCACTAGACCAAAAAAAGTTCCAACTTCTGCTGGCTTTTGTGTGAGGATTCCCAGACTGGTCCATGGTGGGTTATGAGAATATGGGAGATAGTCTGTGCATTGAGAATACTTTAGTGTGTTTAGTTTGATCGTAAGGTTGTACAGTGTTCCACAAGTAATATCATTTGAAAATTATTAAGGGACAAGAAATTTATACTGTAATTAGACAACATAATTGTTTCTAAATTCATCTACTGGTAAAATTATAATTTATCAAGCAAGAAATTAAGTTGCAGTGATGTAGTTAAATTTAATTAATACTTTCTTTAAACAAAACTACCTCTTAAAGAAAGGAAAAAAAAACCTAAGTCCTTCTCAAAAAGCAGTGGATATTACACTGCTGCACTGCACAAAGCTTTATTACCTTTTTGGTAAATTTGAGCACAATATGCAAATTAATTTTAACTTTATTCTTGTAAGGTTGCTTCTGAGTCCAAAATGCAGCAGCGAAATAAACAGTTACCCTATTTTGATGATGATGAAGAAATTGGAGAACCACATACAGTATTTATTGGTCCTATAGAAAAGTAAGATATTTATCTTTGCCCTATAACAATTTTCTGAGTTTTTTGGCATTTTGTATTTATTACTGAATGTATTTTTCTTTTCAGGTTGATAGTTTATCCACCTCCTCCAGCTAAAGGTGGTATTTCTGTGACCAACGAAGACCTCCATTGTCTAAATGAAGGAGAATTTTTAAATGATGTTATTATTGATTTTTATTTAAAGTAAGTTTTGTTTCAAATCACTTTTTAGTAGTCTTTTACTTTGAAACTGGAAAAGTTCTGACATTAAAAATTCATAGGTCAGTTGATAACACTTAGTTTCCAACTATATATAGCTTTAATTTTAAAGATTTGTATCTTTTGCAAGAAATTTTCATTCCTCTCCTGTCCTACTTGACAGCTACATTGCTCTCACTTGGAAAAAATGTTCTCTAATATTTCTTAGCATCTGAAGAGGAATTTTAACTGCAAGGGAAAAAAAAGCCTTCTTCAGATCGGTTGTTTCTTGCAGAGTATATGTGTTCCCTGGAATTTAATTAGTTTTGATTAACATAATGGGGACAAACTTTTTAGCAGGGCCTGTAGTGACAGGACGAGGGGTAATGGTTTTAAACTAAAGGAAGGTAGATTCCGGCTAGATCTAAGGAAGAAATTTTTTGCAATGAGGGTGGTGAAACACTGGCAGAGGTTACTCAGAGGAGCGTTAGATGCCCCATCCCTGGAAACATTCAAGGTCAGGTTGGATGGGCAACCTGATCTAGTTGAAGATGTCCCCGTTCCTTGCAGGGGGGGTGGACTAGATGACCTTGAAAGGTCTCTTCCAACCCAGACCATTCTATGATTCTACAAAAATACATAAATTCATTTTTTGATGTCACAAAAAATATTTTTTTTATTATTTTGATGTTGGAGATGTTAGAAGAGTATTAAATTGTTACATGCTGCTGTGTTTATGCTATGTGTAAGGGGTGTGTGTATAATTTTCAGTCTATTAAAGTATTTTTGGAGGTGAAAAGAAAATTAGTGCATCACTCTGGGAGTGTTTGGAGATTTAGTGGCTCAGTTGCTAAATATGGGTCTTTCCTAGGTAGGGTGTATGTAACAAACTCATTGAAAAATTGTTTTCCTGCACAGCAGCAGAACAACTTGTTGATTGGGCAGAGCACTTAATACCTTGAAATGTTGACACAGATAGTGCTTAAGTGGGTTCCTGTGGTTGTTTAGCTCTAATACACTCATAGCTGTTTTGTGAGAGGCTGCAGCAATTTGGCGGGGAAGTAGCAGTCCTTTTTTTGCTCTGACGATGAATACTTTTAACAGCTCCATGAATTTTTCATATTGTTTTTTTAACTAATTAGGTATTTGGTACTTGAAAAACTGAAAAAAGAAGATGCTGATAGAATACATGTGTTCAGTTCATTCTTCTATAAACGCCTTAATCAACGAGAGAGAAGAAATATTCATGAAACTTCAAACCTTTCGTAAGTCTATTGATAAGTCAGTTTTACTAAGAGCTGAGTACACTGAAGACTACAGGAACACATGCTTTACAGAGATAAAATCCTTACAATTTTATGATACCAGCAGAACTCTAGGAAGCATCCAGGCCTATAACAAACATAGGATATCCCTTGAAAAATCTTAAGAAGCTGTTAAGGTGAAAATACCTGGAAAAGTAGTCTTTCAATTGAAATAAGCCACCTTGCAAATCATGTGTTGGTTTCTTCTTACAGAATACAACAGAAACGACATGGGCGAGTAAAAACGTGGACACGGCATGTTGACATTTTTGAGAAAGATTTCATTTTTGTTCCCCTTAATGAAGCGTGAGTAAACATACCTTTTTATTGCATTTATGTGGTAAAGGCTTAAGCTTTATAATTCTAAAATTGAAAGTTACAGTGTGAATTGAAGTTAAAAATTAAGAGAATAAACATCTTTTTCCAGGTGATAAAACCAAAATTGTAATATAAGATCTTTAAGAACACTTTTGTAGCATAAGAAGTATCAGACAAGATAAAGGCTGAGAAAAAATGAACTTTTCTGAGTACTTTTTCTAGGTTTTGCCTGGTTCTCTGGAGTTCTTTCTTCTAAGCTGCTGTCATTGATAACTTTTGGATTTACTTTTTTTGGTCCTTACTTTTTCTTCTAACAACAAGATCTCTTTGGTATAGATGAGATTATTCTTTAGTTACAATAAACCTGTATCAGAAGAAAATGCAATTGAAAATCTCTACTGCCCTGTATGGGGAGCTTTATTCTTTTTCCTTATGTCCTTTTGTCCTGATATTTTTCTTGAGTCAGGAAGCAGACTGTTTGCATTCTAATGGTTTTTAAGGACTTCTAATAATGCTTGCTTTCCTTAAGTTCAGAGCAGGTTGTCACAAACACATTTGTAAGTTTCACAAAGGGAATGTAAACAGTCCTTAAGCCAAAATATTTAGGAAAGTACTGCATTTTAGAAATATACAATAAAAGCATAAATACAGTAAGGACAGAGAGAGAGGAGAATTGTAACTGACTTATCATAGGCATACCTAACTGATCTTTTGAACATTCAAAGAATAAGGTCTTTGTTTGTTGGTTTTGGTTTTACTTTTTTAATTAAAAGGTCTTCAAAGAAATTCATTGAGATACCATGCCATTGTGCAGTGGGAGAAGAATTTATGAATCTTCTCTTCTCCTGCTTCCTCCACAGCTGAATTCTGAGGCTAGCTGTAGAGAGGAAGATATGAGGTAGCTGACCATAGATCTGTCTTTATTATAAAGTCATAAGTAAATCCCTGAGAAAGCTGTTTCATAAGCACTGACTTCAGAATTTGAGATGCTGCGACCTCTGTGCAGCCATGGGAAGACAACCAGTCCTTAGGTGATGAAAATGACTCGTGTTAGATGTTACTCGTCTGCTGCAGACTTCATCCTTGCCATCTCTCTTCCCCAAAACTTTAAGTACCAGAACTTTGAAGTGTCTGTCGCTTAAATTTTTAGTTGCCTTAAAGCTTGTTATATAGTTTACTTCGCACCGTCCTCTCATGTGTCATTATATATCCACATTGGTTATGCATAGGAGAAATGAGACTGACCACGCTGCAAATACCAGACAGCATGACTTAGACATCACCTGAAAATGAAAATAAATAGTTCTGTGGGTGTACAAGAATTAGTTATATTGCTAGTAACTTAGCACGGGGTAGTTTTCACTGTCTTGTTCATTTACTGTTAAGCAACTAAAGCAACATCTGCCTTAGCGAGTATTGCAGCTCAGTAGGAGTGAATTTGTGGAACAGAACATTTTCTGTGGAAGGCATGATGTTCACACCGTGTATGGGTTGGGCCTACAAAAATGCTGAGGAGGAACTTTTTACAAGGGCAGGTAGTGACAGGATGAGGGGAAATGGCTTTAAACTGGAAGAGGGCAGGTTTAGATTAGATATTAGGAAGAAATTATTTCCTGTGAGGGTGGTCAGACACTGGAACAGGTTGCCCAGAGAAGCTGTGGGTGCCACCTCCCTGGAAGGCTTTGAGCGACCTGGTCTAGTGGAAGGTGTCCCTGCTGATGGCAGGGGGGTTGGAACTGGATGATCTTTAAGGTCCCTTCCAACCTGTACCATTCCATGATTCTATGATTTTGCTTTGGACTAGCTTGGTCTCATGGACTAGTCCAGTAGGCATTAGAGCATGAAAAGTGTACTCTTGGTGTGCATCTTTCATCTGGAAATCATTCTGTTCACACTTTTTGGAACTGTCCTTCACTGTGAACTGAAACTTGGTAAGTGGTGACAGTAGGACATTCGTTTGCAAAAGTGGTTTCCCGATATGTACAGTAAGAACATTGCAGAGCAGAAAAAAAAAAAAGGGGGATGAGAAAGTGGTGGCTTGGCAGGGGGGGAGTAGGTTTGGTTTTTTACCTGCTTTATGGCAAAGAAAGCATAAAACAGATCTTCTCTATTTCTTTTTTTTTTAAATTTATTGTTATTAGCTGCTACTATTATTCTTGTCTGCACCTTGCTATTTTGTCTCCCCTGAAATAAGTCACTTCCCTCATCTGCCAAAACCCAGCATTCAGTTTTGAGGAACAAAAAGCTGAACTTTTTTGGGGAGATGCTAACATGTTTTGGAAAGAATAAGTGACTCAACAATTAAATACTCCCATTATGATGAGTAATTGGTTCTGCAAGACAGAGAGGAGACTGGGGAGCTACCTGGGAAAGAACACAAAAAGTGGCAAGTATGGAAGCTTCTGGGCCTCTCTCCTAGTAGCAGAGCTGTCACTTGCTCAGTGTCTCCTCCTTCCTTATATTGTCATGACACAGAAGAATAGCAGGTTTTACCAAGTTACTATATATTTGACTGCTCTTTTCCCTGTATTCTTCCATTTGAAAATGGGTCAAGAGCAGAGAATGGGAGTCATCTTAACTTACTTTTTTCAGTCAAAAATATTTACTGTTTACTTTATTTCAAGTATCTCTCTTACTGTGGTATGTAGCTCTTGTGTTTGTGGAATTGACATGTAAATCCTGTTTTATTTTCATTAACTTCACTACAGTACCACTTCAAGTGCTTCTTAGCTTCTCTGATATAAAACCAGAAAGTTCTATTTTTAAAACTAAATATACTGCTGACAAAAGAGGCTGATTTTTGTTCCTTAATGGCAAAACACTAATCTGAAGGATTTCTGATCTGGTTAGCAAGCACAATATAGATCCTGTTTGTGTAGGTTACAGCGTCAGGTGGCATTCTGTAGCTGTGTATATAATGTGCTATTAAATATATGGCCCCTGGACTTTGTTAATAGGACTGTGAAAACTTGCTTTTGTGCCAAATACAACATTTTTATTTATTTGTGGTGTTGATTTGTATATTAGTTGGCTTCTTAACCTGCAGTGAGTCTTTTGGATATGCAAGCCCTCTGATGAAGGCTGTGGGCTGGGACCTAACATCTATACCAAGTTGCAGTTTTTTTAGAAACTCCGTTGTGCGACTTCTTTGTGTTAATGTAATTTCCCCAAACTTCCCCATGCTCCTGTTCCTCACTTGCAAAATGAGTACTGTCACGCTTTGTGTTGACAAGAGTGGAGATATTTAGATGATATTTGTTCATTAGAATATAATTTCCAGCTACTTGGTGTGTAGCTGTCTACTTTTGTTTGGTTTTGGTGTTGTGGGTTTTTAGGGGTTTTTTGTGGTTTTTTGTTTGTTTTGTTGTTGCTTTTTGGGGGGTGTTTT